ACAAATGCTCATGCCTCTCCCTGTGCCTTTGTCCTTATACTTTTACCTTGAATGCCTTTTTTCCCATATCTATTATAACCCCTTTTGTCAAAATCCCACTGGTTTAACAAATGTCACTTCCTTCAACTGGATCTGATGTGTAGTTCCATCTCTTGGCCTTCTACAAAGCCCACCTTGAACCTGACTTTTAAGCAAAATGATTTTGTAGATGTGTTGAAGGACAGTATAGTTTTCATTGAGACGAGCATCAGTGGCCTACAGGATCAAATGGAAGAGATACCTTGAAATAAAACAAAAGTGATTTTTAGAAAATGAGCGAACATAAAAAAGACATGGAGGACAATCCAGGATACCTGAAATTAGGATAGTAGGTGGTTTGGAAAGGGGAAGACAGATAGAGGAGCAGCAATGATTTGTCAACGTAAAAATGTCCAAGCCTGTAGAGAATTTATGAGTTTATTTGAGCCAAATTGATGACATATGCCAGGGAGCAAGATCTCAAATGCTCCAGAAAATAACAGTTTTGCAGCTTCTTTTATGCATTTGAAATGAAGGAGGGGGAGTAAGGAAGATGAGCAAAATTAAGGCAGGGATTGGATTACAGGATAGTTAAGATTATGTGCTCCTTGAGGGTTAATACCTCCTTCGAGGGATATTGCTTCTGGCATTTCAAAGGTGTGCTAACCTAGGTGCTCAAGAACAATAGACAAGGCTGGCTTAAAACCTTTTGCTAAAGAAGGCATAGGCCTGGGCATGACTACCCACCATGACCTGCCCCATTAGGAATTTACAATCAGATCATCCTGTGAGGTTACCTTCCACAGAACCCCTTCTTTTGGTCCACAGATTCAATGGTAGCTATAGTATTCTTCCCTTGAAAAAGTATACTACATATAGAGAGTGGCAACACCCGTAGTTTGAAGTTATCTGTACACTTTCCATACAAAGTTGATTTCCTCTGTGTTCACAGATTGGTCTTTTGGAGGTGCAGAGTTACTTTTTGTGTCTTGTGAAAGAGAAAATGTCTCAGCTGCCTGATAACTAGTTGAAGACTTTAAAATAGTTGTTAACAACAATGTCATCAACTGTCAACATGGAGGAACATAGGAAAGAATTAAAATTTGTGCTGAGAATGGAGAGGAGCTTGCTGAAAGCTCCTAGGTGCACAGGAAGTTTGTGGGCACCTTGTAACGAGGTGGGAAATGGTGGTGACCAGACTGTCAGTGGTAATTGTCCCAGTGTGGTGGGCTCTCTGGTGATTTTCACTTTCCTCCCCATACTGCTAGGCTTTTTTTTTTTTTTTAACAGTGATCATATGTTTATATAATCAGGGGGAAAAAAGCAATCTTGCTATTTTCATCATGAGGTGAGAGAGGCAAAGTGTAGTATTGTGTATATAGTATGATCCCTTTGTGCAAAAATAGAATATATATAAACAATTATATATTGTGACTTTTTCATAAACATTTTTTTCCCCTGGAAAGTTTCATCAGAAACTGTTAACTATGATTTAGTTTTCAGAACAGGGACTGGATAGGGTGGTCCTAGAGGTGGGGGAATGTCCACTTTTCATTTTGTATACCTTTAAAAAAATATCCAGTGATTATTTAGTGTGTGTAGAGAGAGATCATGGATCCATTTTTTCCTTCTTTGTAGCTCCCGTATTAAAAAAAAAAATCCCTAGTCCTGTACTGTTTAACCAACTAAGGGAAGGGGTAGAATGTTCCTGATACTGAGGTAAGGGTACACAGGCTGTGTGATGGGTGTGTGTGGAGGGCTCTCAGCTCCGGGGGTGTGGCGGGTGGGAGTGGGTTGGTGTCACATTGAGTCCGGTGGAGGACCCTGACAGGGCTGTGCCTGGAAGCACCTCCTGAAACATGCTCTGGAGCTTGTGGTGTGAGGGTGGTTTTAAGGGGANGAGCCGCTACGCTCGTGTTTCCGAGGACGCCCACGGGAAGCGGGTGCCCCTTCCTCTCCTGCAGCTCCGCCTGGTCCAGTGCCGGAGAACGCCGGGGACCACCCCAGCCAGACCATCGGGCTTGACTTTGACCGTCGCGCCTCTGGCCTTGGGCCCGCTGCCAGGCAACGGAGCGCTTCCCCGGTCCAGTGGCGGAGCTGCACTCCTGCTGCCCGTCTTGCGCAGGTCGGCACAGATCCTCCGCCGATCCAGGCCGGGTTTTGCGGCGGAATCGAAGCGTGCCGATTCTTCTGTCGCTCTAGGTGGCTGTCGGCGTTTGGAGATCATGGTGGTGGACGAACTGTTGACTGCGCTCTCTGGCGTCTCCGGGGCTGCTCTGGCCTGCTGCTTCATGGCAGCGGCTGTGGCCCTGCATTGGTCTGGTCGCCGAACAGCGCGGGGTGCGGCGACCCGGGCGCGACAGAGACAGCAAGCGGCCCTGGAAAGTATGGATAAGGCGGCGCAGCGCTTCCGGCTCCAGGTAACTGTAGAAGTCGGGGAGGCATCAGGTGGGGGTACCCCCAGCAGCACTTACAGCTGCCCAGACTCGTGGAGGGGTAGGTGACAAGCAGCGCAGGTGTGTGGGTAGAGCAGGTTTGTAACTTCTGGAACCTCTCTTTGTCCTAATTCGTTCCCTATTCTTTCTGAGACAGGTGGGACTAAAGGGAGGAAGGGAAAACAAAGAGACGGCGCCGCACGGGGTCAAAGAGGAGCTTTGCCCCGTGCCAAAGGATTTCAAGATCACTGACCATTAAAACGCTAAAATACATGCGTCAGAACCAATGGGATGCTAGGGTTTAGGACTTTGGAATCACCGTGTGATGGCTGCGGGAATCCAGAGAGCTTACAGTTCAAACTTACTGATTTATGCGTGAGGACACTAAGAGGGGCTGGAGACGGCCTTGCCCAAATGCACAGGGAGTTCATTGGCAGAGAGGGGCTGGAATGGAAGTCTTCCCAGCTCTTTCTGCCCAGATTGTCATGGCCAACCCCTGACAATTCTCTTCCACGAGCAGGTTTAGTTCCAGCCCTTCCCTGGGTGATCTGCCAACAAGGTTTTCTCTTCTGGATCAGCTCAGTGTGTGTATGGGGGCGGAGGAGGGGCCTAGAAGAGGGGGCTTTCCCCCAGGTGTATGAGACACTGGACCCTGTTAGAAATAAAAATGCTGAACTGTGATAGCTGTCTTATGTGCTGAGGGAGAAAAGACATGCCACTAGTGTTTGTGAGGGTATGTGTTTGCTAGGAATCGGGTCTGACAGGTGGGAATGTGGTCCAGGTGATGAGAACAGCAGAAGACAGGAAGGTGTGCATAAGTGGGAGACCTGGAGGAAGTCGCTGAAAATTGCTTGTTGTAGATGCTCAGCTGCCGCAAGTGATTTTTGAGTTGGGGTAGAGCTGGAACTGGAACCTAGATGTCCACTGGGACCATCCAGCCTCATTCCAGTGGAGAGGAGCAGGGAAGAGAGATTAGAAAGGGAGAATGGGCCTTAGGTGCCAGACCCAGGGTGCAGCCTTGATTGGAATGAGGTTTTGGCTAGATGTAATAGTGTGAATTTACTCCACACCATTCCCAGGCCAACATTTGTCTTATTTATTTATTTGTTTGTTTGTTGAAATAAAAAGGTACCTGGTTCCAGCCTTCACTCATCAAACTGGCTGAAAAGTCCACTGTCAGTCAGTTTTTAGGGTTCCCTCCTCCCACAGTGAGAGGCCCTGGTGTTGAATCCAAACCGGCCACTTCCCCT